CCTTGGTCTTTGCTGGTTTGTCCTCCTCCTTTCAACTTCTATATGTGATTTCGTGAGGCTAAATTCCACTGTACATATCCATCTGTATGTCTCTCTCTCTTCAGCTCTGCATTCTACCCCTGGTTAACCTTGTTTGATTCCATGGATTTAAATAAGATCTTAGGTTGATGACTCCCAAATTTCTAACTCTAGTACTGACCTACTCCAGATCCTTATATTCTTTTGTTCACTTAATGATTCTATTTATTTCTAAAAGTCAACTCAGTTTAACAATTCCAAATCAGATCTTCTGATGTCCTCTTCCCCAGTTCCATCTTCTGGAACTCATCTCAATAAACACAATCATCCAGTTGCTCATATATAAAACATAAATCATTTTTTGATAATTCCTTTCTCTGTCATCTCCCATATTCAATCCATTTGCTCATCTCCCATGATATATTTCAAATCTGCTTATTTCTCTCCATGTCTACCTCTACCATCCTGGTCCACATCTCCACCAACCCTCCTCTTATCTTCTGAAATTGCCTCCTGACTAGTAACTTCAATTAAATTGTAGTTGCCTGCAATCCACTATAGCAACTAGAGTGATCTGAAGACACAAATCAAATCATTCCTCTCTGAAAATTTAAATCATTCATTCAATAGTTTCATTTGTATTTAGAATAAAATTAAAATTCTTTCCCTGCTCTCTAAGGCTCTGGATGATATATGCTGCCTGCCTACCTCAGCCTCTCAATTATAATTAAGTCCATAAATCTGCTGTGTCTTGACAAGACCTTTTCTACTTCAAGGACTTTGCCCTTGCAGTTCCAGTGGCCTCAGGGAACTTTCTATTCCCTAGCTCTTCACATGGCTGGTTCCTTGTCATGTTCAACAGTTAATTCCTCAATAAGGCTTATTTGACAACTTTATCTAAAGTAGGTCTGTCTTCAGACCTATATTCAATTAATTTCTACTGCAGGACTTATGGCAATCTAAAATAATTTTCATTATTTAGTGTTTTTCCAGTTAAATTATATGTTTAATAAGTCAGGGATAATAGCTTAATTGAAACATAATTCACATACCATACAATTCACCCATCGAATGTATATAATTCAGTGGCTTTTAGTATATTACAAAAATCATGGTAAAATAGATAATACAAAATTTATTTTTTTAACCACTTATTATTGATTATTTAAACCATTTTAGTGGCATTAATCACATTCTCTATGTTATGCAAACATCATTACCATATATTTCTTAAACTTTTTCATCAACTCAAACTCTATAACCATTAAGCAATGGTTCTCCCACTTGCTCCTTCTCCCAGTATTCCAATCTACTTGTCTGTATGCTCTTGTCTTCTCTAGATATTTCATGTAAGTGGAATCATAATACTTGTCTCTTTGCACCTAGCTTATCAGTGAGGCAGGCATCTGGGATCTTGTGTGTCTTACAACCTAATTAGGCATACACAGCTAGCTTACAGTACATGCTCAATAAACAAAAAACAATTTTAAGAAAGTTACTTAACTTTTTAAAAATGTATTTTTATTACATATATTTAAGACACAGCACAATGTTTTGATGTACATATGTAAGGACATACACAATACAACTGTTACAACAAATTAGATACTTGTCACTTTCCAGTTAACTTTTCTGGTATGGTGACAACACCTAAAATCTACTTTTACTAAATTGTAAAAATACAATATTATTGACTATAAGTCTCATGATGTATATTAATGCCTCTGTTCTTAAGGAACTATCTGGGAATGTCATCTTCTTTGAACTACACATTTAGGATGGAAATATATACAACAATGAAGCATGTAAAAGTAAGGGAATTTTTTTGCCAAGCCTGTTAGATTATAGTGACAGAGGCCAAAGCCATATTTGTCTTCATATTCATTTAACATTATCTGTTCTTTATCTCTACAGGGTGATGATAAGGATCATACAGAGCCATATGCACATTCCTTACTAACTATGAGGAAAAAGTATTATAATTTTTGTTATACTACTTTTTATGCTCTGGGAATTAAAAGCAAACTATTGTTCTATATGTAAATTCTAATACAATATACTTAAAAGCTTACTGACAATTATGGTAGYACCTCATTTCTGAATCAATGCTAATTATGCCATGTCTGAGTTTTGACAGGATCATTTMTATACTATTACAATGTCAACCAATAAAGAAGGCTATTTCCAAATGAAGGGGCTGGCACTTGACACATTAGTGAATGGTGCTCAAAACAAGGCATTTGCTTGACTCACTTTCAATATCTGATCCAGCACATATATACATACCTTCAGTCAGCAGTGACATGAAGAAGGCAAGCAGGCCTGATCAATGCTCCCTGCTCTTTAAACAACACTTGAGGATTTCTACTTGAAGGCCTGTCTTTCCAAGCCTGTGCTTTCAAAACATGGGCTGGACTGATCCCAAATACTGAAGTAACAAATATTACTAAATTCTGTCATTTCCTCTACCAAAAAGTGATTTTACTACTACTTCTGGTTGTGATGAAAGGCCCTATTGACTATTCAAATCCTCGACCAAGTTATGGATGCAGTATTAAATGACTTCACTCCTTTTTCTCTGGCACTTTAACACATGCCAAGGCTTTCATCCACCTCCACTAAAGTGGCTTATAAATTACTGAGGTGGGGCCATTTTAATAGTATGATTTGTTCACATCTCTAGAGATGAGGTACAAATGAGACTGGCTGAGAAGACAAACTCCCCTTTGACAACACACATTAGTATACATAAATAGACCTTCAAAAGCTGGAAATATCTTATTGCTGTAACACTTGGTTAGGAGTCACAATAATTAATGGTTCTTTGATTTGTTACAAATCAAAATGTGAAAAAGTGGTGGTAGTAAGGTTAAAGACAAAAAGAAGCCTTCCCCAAGGTCACAAATTTGAAAGATCACATGTTTCACAGAAGTTTCCATCTAAATATTTAAATTGGAAGTTTACTGTCCCCTCCTTTTAAAACTGCCACAGTGGTGGTAAAAAGATACTTGCTTCCCATGATGCAGAGTGGCTGATCTATTGATCTTAACACCCTCACATTCAAATCTCTCAATTTACAAAAAGAATGGAGAGGATTCAAAGTTTCTAGAAACAATCCAGTTTTTAAACAGAGTATAAAACTTGTTGAGCATATCTGTGGCTTTGGTCTAGTTAAGGAGAAAGTCAGAGACTACTTGGGAAGTTCTTCCAAGTGAGATCAGTCACTAGAGCCATGAGTCTGGTATGCAGGGCTCACTTCCTGTTTCCCATTGCAAATAGACTCCATTTGGTCTTGCTCCCAAAGCAAGCTGGGCTATTCTCAGTTCCTCTCTATACCATTCTTTGCATTCCTACTAGGCCCTGAGAAGAAAGAAGGGTGTAGTTGCACGTGTATGTATGTCTGCATGTGTGCATGCAAATGTTCGTGTTTGAAGCTGGGATTTATGAGGAAATCCAGGCATTTGGTAGGGGCGAGTTTCACCTGGAAGCTTCTGACAACCTTTCAACCTTAGGACAAGGACCTAAGGGCACAGAGCATTCTACTAAAGAACGCCAATATTGCTCCCAGACTCTGTACCCTGTTGCATCCAAGTGATCTTTCCACCTACTGACTTCACTGGAGGTGCCGCCTAATTGACTTACTAATTTACTTCATCTTCCTTAGTGCCGTCTTCTTTAGCAGTTTGTCAAAGCACTGCCTTTTCCATGGTATGACACCACTGTGATCAGCACAGCTAGACAGTCTTGACATTAAAGTCCTGCTCTTTGACTGAAATACTTATCTGCCAAAAGTGGAGGAAAGGAAAGCATCTTGTGGGAAGAACAGCACATGAAAAGGTGAGTCATGGGCAAGAGACTGCACAAGATTGTGTGGCTGGAGGGAGGAACATGAGTGAGAGGGAAAGTAACAGTAAAAGCAGTGTGACTGAAGGGACACTGAGTATGGGGTTATGAAGCAAGTGATTTTAATTGGATTACAAACTAGAAATTTGATCCAATTTCAAGAGGACAGCAATCTTAATAAAAACCAGATTTAAAAAAATTAACATTAAATTAAGGTTGGTTGAGGGAAGAAAGGCATCATATAGAGGTATAATTCTAGGTTTATCAGACATGAACAAGGAAATTGTTCAGTAAGATTCTAGATTTATATGGATAAAAGGTAACTCCAGCTCACAGAAGCAAAAGCATCACAAATTTTATTATTTCCACAAAACTGAAAGGTCTAAGGATATAGCTGATAATATCTCTAAATAACAGCTAGGCTGAGGGTATTCATCCATGTGACAGTCCAATTGGAAGGATGTCCTAATGAGAACAAAGCACTGAAACTGGTCTTTCTTGACTACTAGAAAATTTATGGAACATCCACCTCTTGAAGTACAGCCAAGTGTACTAAAGAAATGCTACGTATTTCTTTCAGAAAAAATACAAACTCAGGCATCTGATAGTCTCACTATGGTATGTGGAAAGACATTATTCAAGTGAGTTACAAACTCATGTGCTGTTGAAAGAGCCACAGAAATCCAAGATGGGTTGGAAGGAACATATGCTGGGTCTTTTCCTTTGGGTCCTGGATAATGAGTATGACATGGTATGACACAACAGGACCATTAAGGACTTGCCAAAGGCACTAAACTTTTATTCCATAAACAAGAAAGCAAAATGAGTCCCTAGAAGTGGTCTAAGAAAGCTATTACCAATCAAGCTGCAGACCAGGAAATTATAGAGTCCACACATTCAAGTACAAGTCCACCATCAAGTAAGATCATAGAAAAGGGCTTCTGAGTTTAGCAGGATTCCAACTGATACCCATTGATTCTGTGTCTTCATTACAAAGGCACAGAATAAGACTGTGGCCAAAAAAGAAATTGGCATTACTAATGTAACTGGTTAAATAAAAAGGGTCAATCACAATACTTAGTTATAAAGAGAGTTAACAATCCAAAGCAGTCAGAAAGGAGAGAATAAGAATGGCTTACCTGTGCTATATTTTTGTTCAGAAGATAGACACCATAATCAAATTGTAACTTCTCTCCTCCTTTTGGATACAGTGGAAACCTAAGAAAAGTAAAGAAATTGTAAAGATAAGAATTTTCCAAAACTAAGTAAATACAACCTCCTAGTTGTTGACAGAGGCTGAAGTTACTTAGATGTAGCATAAATATCTCAAGATTGTACTAAATCACTTAGGTACATTCACTGCCATCTACTAATATCTTCATTAGTCAACTCAGAATAATGGCTTTCTTACAAAGGAAAAACTAAAAAGGTCACCTAACAAAGCACTAATGTATTAAGAAAGTGACCGTCTAACTCCAAGGAGTTGAAGCCACCAGCTTCTACCAAATGCCATAAGCTTGCCACCCTGAAGACTTAGATCCTAGAATTTCTTTCCTTTAATACCTTGGACCTGACATCTCAACTTTTACTAAATAGTAGAGGAAAATTAAGGGAAAAATCACACTTAAAAGCAAAAATTCATCACATTTACAGTGATGGCTACTAGGATACAACTTCTCCAGAGCAATGCACTCATGCCATAAAACTTTCAGAAATGACTTCACCTTAAAAAGAAAAAAAATATATATATATATGGTTGATGGACACGATATCTTTATTTTATTTTTATGTGGTGCTGAAATTGAACCCAGTGCCTCACACGTGCTAGGCAAGCGCTCTAACACTGAGTCCCAGCCCCACTCCATGACTTCACCTTTTGACCTGCCTCACTGAAGTAACAAAGGGATGAAATCTGGATCTTCATAAAGATAAGAAGTTAGTTTAGGAAATAAGTTTTCCTCACTATTTCCCTTTCCTCTCCCCTGCAAATGAAGAAGAAATGGTTGGTATACACCTATATTCATTTTTAAGATGTATATAGACACATTTTTTAAAGTTATTGTTACGCTGTGACTATACATATTGGTGGGATTCACTGTGACATATTTGTACATGCGCATAATATAATTTGATCAATTTCTTTCCCCAGTACCTCCCCTTTCTCCTTCCTCTATATTCTCCTTTTCAACTCTACTGGTCTCCCTTCTATCTTCATGAGGTCTTTTTAAAATTTCTAACTTCTCCATATTACAGAGAAAATATGACCCTTGACTTTCTGAGTCTGGTTTATTTTGCTCAACAAAGTACTCTGTACTTCCATTCATTTTCATGCAAATGACAAAATTTCATTCTTTATACTGAATAAAATTCCATTGTGTGTGTGTGTGTGTGTGTGTGTGTGTATGTATGTATGGAAGGAACATATGCTTGGTCAGTCCTGACATTAAAGTCCTGTAATTATATGTATACACCACAGTTTCTTTATCCATTCATCTGTTACAGACATCTAGGCTGGTTTCATAATTTGGCTATTGTGAATTTTATTGCTATAAACATGGGTTTGCATATATTGCTACAGTATTAATTATTTTGGAAAAATACCAATGAATAGTACAGCTGGGTCACATGATGATTCCATTTGTGGCCTTACGAGGAACCTCCACTATGGTTTCCATAGTGATTATACTAATTTACAATCCTATCAACAGTGAGTAAGTATTTTCCCAACATTCTCATCAGTATTCATTATTACTTATGTCCTTTTAAAAAAAGGTTTTTATATGTTCTTTTTAGTTATATATGACAGTAGAATATATTTTGACGTATCAATTACTTGTATTCTTGGTGATTGCTATACTAACTGGAGTGAGACGAAATCTCAGTGTACTTTTGATTTGCATTTCTCAGATTCCTAACAATACTGAACAGTTTTTCATGTTTTGTTGGCCACTTGTATTTCTTCTTTTGAGAAATGTGTATTTAATTATTATTCAGGTTACTTCTTTTAGTGTTGTTTTTGAGTTCTTTATATATCCTGGATATTAATTTTCTGTCAGAAGAGTAACTGGCAATGGTTTTTCTATAGACTCTCTTCACACTTTTTTCTTCTTTGCTGTGGTTGCACATACCTATATTCTAATCATTTTTTTTCTAATTTTTAAGATCAAGCATTAAGTTTTATAAAATGAAACATTTCTCTATTAACAGATCAATCACAACTTACACAGTATCACAAAGAAAACATTTGTTCCCTTAGATTTGCAATATGATTACTCTCACAAATAAAATAATCTTATTGAAATGAATGGTAGATGACAATTAGCAGATATTCTTAATTTTAAATGTGTCAATTGCCTGAGGAAAGGAAACATTCTATAAAGCCTGGAGGATAGGATTTTCAGGGAAAATAAAAGAGAATTTAAAAGCTTTATATTAAATCCTTAGGAGTTGACATTTTATAGTATCCAAAAGGTGTATTTGTTGTGCTATAAAATTATAAGAATTGGGCAATAATTAAAGGCATGAACTTTAGACACTCATTAAGAAGATATAGCTTTGTCTTTAATTGAAACAATAGAAAATAAATTAAACATGTGGTTTGGCCCCAAACTGAGATGAATAAAAATGACAGAAAGCAAATTCAGGATAAGCAAAATGCAACACCAGGTTTTTGCAAGGTGTCTGGGAATCATTCAAACTCATATGGGTAGCGTGGACAGAAACTATATGTTGCAAAGACATAACAACAGGGGAAGTTCAAGGTATCCAATGGAGTCCCAAAATTTCCCAGTGTTCTGTACTGTATAGTTGTTATTCTATAAGTCATCACAGGTAGCCTGTCAGAACAGTGCTCCAAACCCGAAGTTATCCTCATTTTCCATTATAAATCCAGAAGCTGTTTCACACATTGAAAGGGTAAATTGAGATCAGCACACACTGAAAACTGAACCTCTACATTTGTAATAAATTTATTTTACATTTGACTTTATTATACTTCACTGGAACTTCTTTATAGAAAGAGCCTCAAGTTATAAGTGTAACATTAAAACAAATTTGAAGAGTGATTAGAGCCAAAGGTTCAAATAGGCTGCTAAGAGAAGACCAAATATTAGGATGGAGTTCACATTTTATGATGCTTTCAGATTCTTAATGGGTCCCTTTGAACTGAGCAACTTAATTGTAACTATCACATATTCATCTTTYTTTCCAAAAACACATGGATTCATAGATTAAGCAATATGGAAAAATAGAATTAATTGTAAAGGGTAAAACCCATCACTATCAGGACACAAGAAACAAATAAAAGCATTTTATTTCAACTCTAGAAAAAGAATTACATTAGCAAACTTGAGAAAGTTTAAATAAGAATGTGGTCATAAGTACAACTAGAAAAATGTCCTTAACATAAAAACAGGACTCATTAAAGGAGAGTATTACATTAACTGGAGAATGACTATATAGTTCCTATTAATACATGCAATATAATTTATTAATGTTATACCCAAATGGCCAATATTGTTACTTTTCAAATTAAATTAAATTTCCAAATTATTTAAAAGTTCACTGACTGGACATGGCAAAAATTACGAAGTAGAAAGCAATAAATAGATTATATGAGTGAAAGAAATCCATCTGAGGCTTTCACTGTACCTGATGCCTGGTGGGGAGGAGGTTGCAGACCCCCAAACCTAATTATTGGAGTCCAGCTGGATCTATCCACTTAGATCTACTATAAATCATGTGTGTGTGTGTGTGTGTGTGTGTGTGTGTGTTTACTGGGAGTTGAAGCCAGGGGAACTTAACCCACTGAGCCATATCCCTTTAAAAAAATATTTTATTTAGACACAGGGTCTCACTGAGTTGCTTAGGGCCTTGCAAAGTTGCTGAGGTTGAACTCCCAATCCTCCTGCCTCAGCCTCTGGAGCTGCTGGGATTACAGAAGTGCACCACTGTGTCCAGCTACTATAATCTACTATAAGTCATCTTATCATTATGGACTACCAAATTGGCCTAGGTCAGTTTACAACTCTTTCTTTCTCTAGTCAATCTCAGTTTCTAATTTTACACTTACTGTGTGATTATTTAGTTAATAAATTTAGTTAATAAATAATACTGTTGGCTCCAACAGGAAAGAAACAGGTTTTACTTTGTTCCTCTTTTACCCCGCTGGTTCTGTCTAGCACTGTTACTAATAGATAATAATTTTTTAATTAAAAAATAGATTCTAGCCTGGTGCTGTGGTACATGCCTATAATCCCAGTAAAGAACTGTGACATGACAATCAAAAAAGCTAATGTGATCCCAGGCTTCATTAACAGAAGCAGGGTTTTGTAACAGTGTTACTATTACTTAAAAGAAACTGATCTGCCTTGGTTACCTACATGGTAATGGAAGAGACATGACCTCATTATTAGGTCTTCAAGGATAAATGTAGTATTCCTTCCATTTCCTGAGTCCTTTAGAGAAACACACCCAGGATGATTAGGGAAATGGGAGCCATATATTTTCTTTTGCCCAGACTAATTTTTTAATAACAACTTTTCTCTTTTACTTACTCAGGGCTACAGTGACAATTTTTACTCACCTTGTTTTTTTTATATATGTAGTGATTTACCAAGTTGACAAGCCATTTTCCTTCTGAAACACTCTTGTCTCTTCATGCCCATTGCCTCTCTGGATAATTCTTTCTTGTGGGAGGTTTCCTACACACTATAGGATGTTTAGCAGGGCTGGCATCCCTGTCTACTAAAAGCCAGTAGTATCCTACTCCCAACTGTGATAACCAAAAATGTTTCCAGACATTGTCAGATGTTGCCTGAGAGGGAGGGGAAGGGTGATAAAATTGTCTTCAGTTGAAAACAACCGTCTAAACTCTTACCAATTTGATTATTATAACATCTTTCTAGCCAGCACCTTTAAGCTGGTTCACTATCCATTATCACTGTCAGATTGATTTGAGGCAGTCTAGTAGGTTTTTAAAAATTAAGTTATAAGGGCTGGGTTTGTAGCTCAGTGGTAGAGCACTTGCCTAGGATGTGTGAGGCACTGGCTTTGATTCTCAGTACCACATATAAATAAATAAAATAAAGGTTCATCAACAACTAGGAAAAAAAATTAGAAAAAAATTAAATCACAACAGAAAAGACCAAGTTTTTCTACTCTCAGATCCATCATTTACTTGTTACATGAACTTGGATAAATCATAACTAACACTCAGT